TGGGAGAGGACGCGGGTGGTTGGCACGGCGTAAACCCGCGCCTAGGCGTACCACTGCATCTCCTGGTCCACAACGGACACTGACCAGAATTTCGCAAGACAGCAAGAAGGCGGGAAACGGCTCAGATCCAATTTAGTGCGGCGTGGACCTGCAAGTGGGCGTGCCGCCATACGCAAATGTTCGGCATTTGTTATGACTGCGCATTCCCAGTAACGCCTGCCGTACTCCGGATCTAGCCCCCCCTCTCCTCCCCCCTGTTCGTCTAGCGTATCTGCCGTGTTGCCACCTTTTGGCACACAGACGTGTGCGCCGCTTACCGACTCTCCTGTCGTCAAGCGGCATCAGATTCGCGCGTCCACCATTCCTCTTATCGCCTCACCAGTGATCAGCCTGACGCAGACCATCAGCACCGGCTGAGCAGGCAACAAATAGCACCTGCCTCGGGCGCCCTTGACCTGTAGAGGCGTCTGTTACTACTCTGCGCCTCTCGTGCGTACCAGCGACGGTATGATTCTCGGCCAATCACAGCTAGCCCCAGACCAGCCAATCACCTGTGAGAACAAGCTGTGGCTGAAGACGCTCTGACACCTGTTCTCGCGGCTCCGGACGTGTGCCCTCGTTCGGTTGCTAATTTCCCTCAACCTATGATCTACTCACTCAGTATGAGATGTTTCCCAAAGCATCAGCACGCCCTGAGTGGAAATCCATTAAAAGAAGTGAAAACTCACAAAATTCTAGGGATCCGAGCAACTTAAAACTTCCTGTACAACAGGCGTCCAAAAGAAAACGAGCATCATGCACTGGATCAGGTGTGTTTTCATAATCTTTCCTGTTGGACTGTCCACGATGACATTTGCCGCGTTTATTAGACCGAATTTGAAATACCAAATGGCAGTGTGGATGCCCGGATGAAGAAAGGCAGCAACCCCGTCAAGCAGGTGCAACGACAGACGACGGAAATGGCGGACGAACCTAGGAGTCTGTCATATCCAGAGATACTAATCCAGCTCCTTTTTTCCCTACGCCATAGACAACCTGTTCTGAACATTTCACATTATCCAAGGTTATGAATTTTGGCTCAAACCTGGTGATTTCCTCGAGTTTACAAACATGCATCACCTGTGCGTTCACCCTTGCAAAATCAAACCTGGATGTACGCGCATACGCCAAAGAAAGTTTTCTTTCGGCCGATCGGCAGTCTGACCATGGAACTCATTCCCATGCGAACTTGTGACTTCGGATACCTTGCTTCTGTTGAAAAGGCGAGTGGACTGTTTGGTGTTTAGTAAACGACGCCTCTCACTGCAGGTATCGTTGCAGTTACCAATGAAATCTACATCTCGAATTCATTCCTCATGTATCACATCGCCTTATGTTTGCTGTAAAACGTCTTTTTAAACAGACGATTATATTTTGTGCTAACCGTGCACACCGGCGTTTATAATCTCAGCTTCACACCGATAAGGTCATCAAAGTCGCCACCCGTAACTTTCAAATGCACACGCAGAATACAATGCTCTGTCTGCCGGTGTCCATCTCCGCCTCTTTAGATTCGGACCTGAAGGTAGTAGTTGCTAGGCTCTGACTATGACTTAAGCTGCCACAACAGGCCCACGCTAAAAGCTGATCACTGCGCGCGCTTTCTACCAGTCGCTTGCGTGCCCTGACTCGAACGCTATTGGGGAGTTAGTGTGGTTTCCGTGAGTTCTAACCTAGCTGAGTCCTTAAGCTGAGGTTATAATTGACCACTGCCTTTTCAATTTCCCGATCCTGTTTATTACACTTAACTCAGATGGTAGCCAATAGAACATTAAATCACTCGGTGCTCTATGCAGGAAGAGATTGCGGACAATGATAAGGGGGACTAGAATAGCCATTTTTGGCTTATTGGTCGTCATCAGCTATATCATACCACAGGTTAGCAGAGTCTGGGATCTACAGTCAATGGGTCGAGCGCTCCACCGATTGAGCCATGGTTGTGATCGGACTATTAACTATGCTGGAAGGGCGTTTACCGATCGAGTTAGCTGGCCTCCTCATCCCCTTGTGTTGTGGGTGGTTGATGACGGCTATTAAGGCAGAAATGTCCATTCCAGTCTCCCTTGTCCGCAGTCCCACTTTGCACATACTGCTAGTCGCCGGAAGATCGCCTGCAGGACTCCAGGTAGACCACAAAGCTCAGTCGGTGAACGCCCATCTAACACTCAGAACTTTGTCCCTATATGGAATCCCTGATACCTGGAGACGATTTACAGTAAGTTCAGCGTCGAATTGTTTCCGCCTGACTACCATGTTAAATCACCGAGTGTAACACCACATCGTTGTAACTTACGTGAGACCCACATGCTCAGTGGGCTTCCTACCATGACCCAGTCTGATAAGCATCCCCTCCAATCCGTCCCGACTACATTCTGTTTTTCTAATTCCACTTTTTCTGGAATCTCATTGGTTACTTAGCACCTTATGGGGGCTCCTGCACTATACGAGATCGGCCTGTATTGTATTGCCTCGGGACTTGATCTAGAGCCCCGCGAGCAGTAGCACAGCGGCTAGTACTCCATGCCGTACAAAACTATCGATAAGGACAAGGGGAGTGGAATGATCGGCTCTGACCTAGTAGCCGTAATCCGCTAGCCACACCCAACCCTGGGCTTGCTACCTCTGGGGTTTAAACGAACGAACTATTGGTTAGAAGTCCGACGCTCTAACCACCGGCCCGGGGCTCCTTGTCTTCTCGATTGCGATCGGACAGTCTAAATGTGGTAGAGGGCGATCACTGACCGCGTTACGGCACCTAATCATCCCGTTCTGCCTCGTAGCTTGATCTAGATCCGCGTGGGTAGTCGTACAATGACTAATATTACATTCAGAAGGCGACTAGCGACATTCCAGCCATCCTCGTCTTCGCTGGTAGTTCCCTTCTGCATGCACTGTTAGGCTCCCGAACTGCCGTCTATAGGGCAGGTTAATCCATTCAACCCATATTCACTCGTAGCGCTCAGCCGTGGACTATACCAATTTCAAAGTAAAATGGTATTAACGACAAAGAAAAAGGTGACCGGAGGGGCCATTTCTGGCTTATTAGCTGTCAGCAGCCAATCACACCCAACTGTGAAGTATGGAATACCTAAGGCTCGGTCTCACGACCTGTTAGTTGGAAGTCCAACGCCTCTAAACACTGAGCCACGGGCTCGTTGTCTAATCAGTTGCGATCTGGAATATGCAATGGCAGAGGGCCGCTCACCGACCGTTTTTACGGAACTCACTCGTTCCGTTGTGGTTTACGGACGCGCGCTCTCTCTCAAGCCAAACCAGCAGCCATACAGCGGCGCATGATATAGGCAGAATGGTATAACTAACAGGTCGGGGATGGAGCCCAGGTGTTCAACACTTCGGGGTCGGGTATGACTGGCTCATGACTGCTAATAAGCCAGAAATGGCCATTCCAGTCTCACTTGTCTTTGTCTGTAATACCATCCTGCCTATATCATGCGCCGCTGTGCGGCTGCTGGTTGGGCTCGAGAGAGAGAGACCGTAAGGCACAAGGGGGCGAGTGAGTTCCGTAAAAACCATCGGTGAGCGGCCCTATGTCAGTATCAAAGTAGGCAAGGAACTTCCGTCTGACGTGTTTTTTCATTATCCACCAGCTTTTCCCAAGTCAATCTTTACAATTTTTAATTCACATCGACCCAACTGTGTAGAACTCAGCTCCTCATTGGGATTCGAACCAATGACAGCAAGTGGAGGATTTTGTACAGCCAAAGTTCTAATTACCTGAGCTACGAGGCCCCACCGGTATACGCGAATTTAATCAAATGTTGATCAAGTTAGCCGCTCAACCTACTGCAACGTCTGGAATCCACCAAATCAGACACAGTAAGCCGACTGCCCAAGCAGGATTTCCGAAGCTGCAGCATGTTAAGTGGGCAACTTGACCCAAATGTGATTAAACCCACGTCTCCCGGTGGGGTCTCGTAGCTCAGGTGACTAGAGCGTTGGCCTCACTAAAGCCCCTACTTGGTGTCGCGGGTTCAGATGCCACTGAGGCGTCGAGGTTTTCACAGTAAGGTCAAAATAAGTTATTCAGAATCTATTAATTTTTTAATTATCAGTAATAAGTCACATAGGCCGATGACTTTCCACGTCCACCCTTCCCCAAGTATGGAAAAACGGCCTCTTCATCGGCTGTTCCCCTTTCATGCGAAGCGCCAGATGGTTACTACTTTGCCTAAGACGTTGTACTTTTAAGAGCAGAAGGACGGAGGCGCATTGCTACTGTGCATTCCCCGGAACTCTCGGGGGGAGGCGGGTGGGGGAGGGAAGCAAGAAGGCGGCTGTTTTGCCTCTCCATAAGCTTGGTACTTTTTCTTCGAACAGCAGCAGTCAATCAGTCCGTCCGGCTGGATTGTGCCGCCGTTTACCAACTTGACGGCAAACCAGGCAGCCGAATTCAGGTTATACTTGACTTCTTCACGGCGACCGGCCTTGTGGTTTACAGTGAGTCCGAAAATAACAAAACTGCGCCTCCAAGGAAGACCAATATTTTTTTCGGTTAGACTGAAATAGTGCTTAGAGTGTAACACGAAACCAAGTTAATTCACATACGCTCTGATGCCTCTTTTTAGCTGGGAACTACTTCTAGCCAGTTGCGTTGATTAAAATAGACTTAGACAACCCTAAATTATGTGAAGTTTGTTCCATTGACTTTTCTTATCAATACTAAAACAACCCTCTGTCTTATAAATTATAATCACACGTGTAGACGGGCTACTATAGCTTTGCAGAAGCAGGCGAATATACGAACTCCAGTAACTAGCTGCTAAGAAGTAGAAGCGGTCGCCGGAACTAGAGCCTTATTCGCCTGACGTGTCGGATTCTTGCTGGAACCCATCATCCGAGACAGTGAGAGGAACGGGCGATTCGTGCACAGGAAGTTGCAGTATTTATGGGATGCAGTCGCTATGATACTGCATACCTATAATAATTAACCGCTCTCTCCTTCATTGAGAATTGTTGCCTGCTGTTGCGCTAATGGCTTGGTAGTCGGCATGCAAGTAGTTCACTGCTGAAATTGGATCGGCCTTGTTGGATGCTGGCGTGAGGATTGCTCGGCCATCTGGCCCACCGGCCTGCGCGCTCCCCGAGTGGTTGATTACTCTGACCAGACTATGCCGCAGCATGGAATGTAGAGTGGGGATGTCGTTGCACTTGTTGATAGACTGGGGTCTCCTGAGCCTTGACCCAAGCAACTCGCGGCTCACGCGATTATCACCTCTCGCGACAATTTTGGCCTCATCGTACTTGAACTTGTGACCGGGTCTCGTCGAATGGGCTGCGACCTGAGAGTTGGCGTCATTTCTCCGCACCGCTGACGCGTGTTCGGCAATTCGCATCCGAAACAGTCTTACGGTTTCTCCGAAATTGTCGCTTTGACCGCAACTGCACCAGATCCGATGTTTCTTGCCGTTTTAGTGGGTCTTTTGGTCTCATCACCTGACGCCCTATGCTGACCTCCGGCCGGTGTGCAACTCCAACCCCAAGTGGTGCGAGAAGGCGACTAACGACCTCGGAAACGCACAAGATGTACGGGATCGCTCACCAGAGTTTGGAGTTGGTACGATCTTGTCGGTCGCTTTGTTTGCGCATGCTTTGTCAGCCCCAAGCGCCAGATCAAACTGGGCAGTAAACTGGTGCACGGGATGGAGAAGAGTAATCGGAATCAACACCAGGGGAATCTCATCCCCACAACACACCAGCGCATTCCTCACAAATAATATATCTGACGTGCTCCAACCTATCACGATACACTAAAAATCGCAGCCTGGAAGGCTGCCATCTGACTCGATGACTGGGCCCTCGTGGGCAGCACTGTGCATGTGTGGATGTGCGTTTATGGGGTGACTGACTAGAGGACCGGGAGTTAGAGTCAATAAGTCCCTCTCTTAATATGACTCCTATGGCGCTCTCATGAACGTGGGGTCCGGGCCCCACGTTCTGCGAAATTCGAGGCAGTTTTCTGAGTCAGGTTGTGCGTGGCACGCGCAGACGGCTTCTTAGCCTTATTGGCTACAGCGCCCAAGTTTATCTTCAGTCGGCTTGACACTGTGTTTCGTATAAGGAATTAGTTTATCAGGAAGGGGGGACTGCGGTCGATTTTGTGCAAGTCCGCGTTTCTTTAAACTGGTTCGCGTGCAAGCTATCCGCGGTTCCCATGGAGGGTTTCGTCGCCACGACTGTGGAACTGTCAACGACAAAGTCGCTTTTGCGGAAGTGCTTCTCCATATATTATATTTTAAGGGAGAGATATTTTCGCTTTACAAAATGGTACTTATTCCTAAGCCTTTTTCACTGCAGACTGCGTTTTCATGTGGGCTTCATTATTTTGGATGTTATGCTGGGTCATTTAGCTAAAGCAAAACCAGCAATTTCGTCATGGTTGTATCCGAAAAAACGTAAGGCTATGGTTTGTGCAGGGGTTACTTACTCCGGCAAGGAATCGTGCTAAAAGAAATTAACTAGTGAGATTTGTTTGTGCGTGCCAGAGCAGAAATAAAAAGACCGCGGCGACTGTCGCGTTAGGGTGGGCATGATGCATTAAGGTATTCATTGCAGTAGAAAACCGACAATCCAATACCTTTTTGACAATGCCTTCAAAGGAGCATTAAATCTATTTCCTATTTCCATTACATCGTAAAAAATAATGTCCCCTCTTAATTGGTGACAGTAGGGAGGATCAAAATGTTCAGCTGTTTTGGTTAACAAAAACGCTCCCCGGAATAGGTAACCCCGCAATAAAGCATACCCTTGTCCAAAACCCCTGATTGCTATAACCAATGTGATGAATATCGATCAACTTTTCTACTCCAAAGTCAACATTAGAACAGAAACTCATGCCGGAGTCCAAGCTTCCTTAGAATTGGGGATTTAAAAAACTGTACTTCCTGCTCCCAAAATAGCGCTTTAAGAAGGCGTAAATTGGCAAAATCAACATCATCAAATGAATTTATGTGTATTATTTCTAACGCCAGGACTGACTCATGAGACATCGGGAATTGAAAAAATAGATTAATTTGTTGATCGAGTGTGATGCATAGATAAAGTAGGTGGACAAACTCATCATATGTCAACCCTAAATTTCAAAATGCGTTTTCGTTTCGAAAAGATTAATTAAGAAGAGTTGTAAAACTAATTATCGTGCAGCACAATACTATAAAAGGTCAGTTACCTCAGGATGCCAGCTTTCGAATGAACTTCTTTCCGGCTGTATGCAAAAACCATACTCTGCAAAAAATGACTACTTAAGCAGCATGCATTTTTTTCCTTGATTTTAGATGCCCGTAAGAACTCAATTATATTTCATGAAAAGCATGCATTAAAACATTCAGTCTCTTGCTCATTCGGTAGAAAATGACGTCTTCTTCCTATTTAATTTTTGAAAGACGGATATACCTCGGTTTTAAAAAAGTTTCTGATCGTGAGACCTTTTAGTACCTTGAAATCGCTGTTCATAAAACGTCATGTCTCTGCATTTACTAATGTAGCTCGTAAACATAACAGCGTGGCTCAAATCCACTGCTACGTTTCATGAACCACATATGGTCTCCTCTTAATACCATAAAGAAATTTATGGTTTTCTTTACACGGAAAATATATGATTTGTAGTTAGTGTAACGGTAGATCGAGTTCAAATTATTCGGAAATTAGAAAAATTTTTGAAGACCCAAGTATATCTTTCTTTCGAGTATGATATTGGAAGAAGACGTAACTTTCTACCGAATGAGTAAGAGATTGGATATTTTATGCATGTTTTCCATAAAATATATTTGAATTTTAGGGGCATTTGTAACTAATGAGAAAAATGCATGCTACTTAAGTAGTCATTTTTTACGGAGTATAGTTTCTTCATGCAGCCGGAAGGAAGTTCATTCGAAAGCCGTCATCCTGCAGTAACTGAATTATTATAGAATTATGCTGTATAATGGCTAGTTTTACAACTCTACTTAATTAATCCTTTCGAAATGAAAACGCATTTCGGAATTTTGGTTGACATTTCATGAGTTAGTACACCTACTGTAGACCTCTCCCCAGGCAGAGTGCATTTCGAAATTAGTTCATGACAAAATAGTGGCGTGGTTGATTGTCATTTTTCTATCGATAACCATCGTACTCCAGTCGTGTTCGCTCGTGAGTGTTCATCCTCCGCACAAGCGACTGAGAGACGATTACTCTAAAAGCCTTCGCACACCTTCAAACTGGCATCTTTTGGCCGCGCAAGTTAACTCAGGAAAGACGTGAAAAAGCGCGTTTCTTTCGGGAAAACATAGGGACTTTCGGCTTCAGAACTAATCTGAAAATAAACGCGACTGTGTGTCGTAAAACAGAAAAGTACTGTCAAAGTGCCATCTTCGAGTTACATTGAAAAGTGCTGGCCGTAAAGGGATGGTAAGGTATTTGCCTGTCATTTTACCTTCTGACTTTCTCCTTAACTAGCTTTTGCTAATAGGTGATCTAAGAGCGAACCGGATCCCGCGAATCTGTTGACACACCTTATTTTTAACAGGTTCACACCATAGCACATTCGTACTGGTCAAAATGGCCCCAGAATGCAGCAGAGGGAACGAAAAGCGGTTCAAAAGAACAATATCTCTTTTCGTCTGATCCATAAGTAACCTCACATGTAGAAAGGTTAGGGTATGCCAGTCCTCTTGTTGACGTACTTTGACTTTCATATGCAAACTACCGTATTAGAAACTTTTCAAGTATCAAACTAACGAGGGGCGGTTGTCAAGGGAGTCGATTTTTTTCTCCGCCGTGGTTTCGTATTTAGGTCAAACTGCAAATACCGCCGAAACTGGTCACTGCTAAAAAAAACTCCTTCCCTATCGATGGAAGCTTTCAAAATCTTTTGCGTAAGTGAGTTTTAATAACCACGACATAAGCAGTGTGTTTCTCTTGGACATCAATTGAAAACACCTAAAACGCTAAATTGTCCGCAGATATTACAAATTCGCCACAAGACTCAACGCCCCTCCCATCCCCACCACCGGAAAGAAGACTGTCATTTTGCAAAAAGTTGTATATTCATAGTTACACCTGTTTTCGCCATCCCATATCGCTTGAATGGCGACCTGAGACCTTATTGAAATTTTTCACCGAACCAAAAATACAGCGGAAAAATATCCCAATCCCTGAAAACCGGAGTTCCCACATACTGCAAGGAGGCGCATTTTTTTCATTTGGCATTGATTCCTACAGATCTACCCTGATCTCACGTGTTGGGCGCACTTGAAATTTGATCTCGGGGTTAAGTGGGTCATTGTGCATTTGAGTCCAACACTCCATTCGCTTGAGCAGCAGGCGTTAACCGATCCACCTTAGCTCAAATCACTAACGTTTTGGACTTTGAAACAGTGGCTGTCAGCATCATCAGCTGATGAAGCCAGAAGAGGTCTCTTCAGAGTCTCTCGTTTATGCCAATGACAGGTTTATTGGACAGATGGCTCCACATATAGGTTGAATGGCATCTGCATAAACTGCACTGAGAAGCCGTACCCCTACATTCTAACTGACGGTTTTAATGTCACAAACGAGGATGTCCAATAAATATATCGCACGGCAAGGTTGGCGCAGGGACAGTGACTTAATCCTGAATTAGTTTATAATGATAGTAGGCTTGCGCTGCTCCCACTTCACCCTCTCGCTGGAAGGCTCAAGAAGACCAGAGGTGGGCAGTAGATGACAAGGATAAATAGGCCGTCTACGCGTGCCATACGCTCCTGGTCCGCTCAAAAAGGACAAGTATCTCACAGAAACAAGAAAGGGAGTGGCTCGGATCCCAGTTCTGTGCGTGTGACTTACATAGAAGCCACATTAAGAAGGAGCCATTGCAGCCTGACTAGCCCGTCGTTAGGGGAGGACCAAGATACGGCTTTTGCCGCACCGTAGTAGTTTAAAGACCCAATAGACCACTGGGAGTAGGCGCTGAGTGACGTGAGGACACAGACTCCAGAATCGGTCTCACTGTCTCTCTTCCCTCTCTACAGCACCAGTTCACCGTCTGAGACGGGCAGTCATCTGATGCGGAGAATGGACGCAAATGACTGACTGATCTAAGTCTGGTCGCTCGTACTACATACCAGTTTCTCCCGCAAAATGTGAGAGAGTCGCTTCCGCCTCACGTGTTTGGGTGCCATATTGAGAAGGAGGAGTTGATTCTGACTCACAGTCCTTCAATTACCCACTCCACACAACCAGGAAACAGTGTTTTGTAAGTACACTTACCTTCTTAAACTATGTAAACCTACATTGCTCAGCCGCCTGGATGACTGCTGAGCTGCTCAATATTTTATTTCGGCGTTCTAAGACATTTTGTCAGTTTTAGCACACCCTGTGG